ATATTTTTGACGAATACGATTACAGGGAGACAAGTGAAAAGTTTTGCTTGTGTGTTTATGTGTATGTGCTTTACTATGTTGTCTAATCCAGAGACGTGGTAATTGTTGGCCAGGAAGGCCAGGAGCTATCGATACCCATTTTTGCGCAGGAGAATCCGATGCCATCATCAAATGAGCAGATGTATCGCTTTCGAATACATGCCAATCCGGTATTTCAGTGGAGCCCTCGTCTAAATGAACTTGACTTCATTGGCATCCTCTCCAATGTTAGCGCGATCAAGATCCGCGGGACTTATTCGACCGGAGGTACGTGGGATTGAACATTTCGCGCTTTGGTTCTTGATTCATGAGTATGCTTCTTGCGAAAACAATAAAAAATACTTATTATCATGAATAAACTATGTTTCATGTATATGTATATACAACGAACATGGTTTATTCATATAATGGATGATTTTTTTTTAGCACATTAGCACACTAACAGATTTTTTCTATTTTTCTGGCAATTTTTAGGCCATCCCGACTTTGCGCTTTCTTATTTAACATAATTTTCGCATCGTATTTAACATAATTTTCGAATACAAAGGAAACGTGATCCTTTGTCCTTCATTTCTCCCTCATGCATTAGGAAACGTATCCACATATTGATAGATTGTCAGGTAGTCTACCTTCGGTTCTTCGACTTTGATTTAACGAACTTCGATAATGTTTGCTATACGCTACTTGGAAATGAGAAGTTGCCCTCCTTCTCCTCCTAAAATTGTTCTTCCCTCCTTTGTCTTGTGGGATGGGACGGGGTGAGGGAGGGTGCGGAGTCATCAAATGGCCAGAATGAAAATTCATAGCTAAGTTAAGCCAGAATCTAAAATTGTTGCTCGTTCCTTCCTTCGAAAAGATTGTTCAGCTCCGTTTTGCTTACTTGTTTATCATATTTGCAGATGTCGGCTTCTTAAGTAATGTACATTTGGGCACCGCAAGTTTGGCGCCATCCGGATACGAGTCACGTGAGGCACACTGGATTGAATCGTGCAGCTGCCTAGAAGGTTTCGTTGGGCA